AACATAATAGGACATATAAATAAAATCCTTGCTTTTTTTAAAAAAAAGATATGTAAAGGTATTTAAAGGCAGCAACTATGTTCCACACCCTCTGTGCACAATAATTTCATTTTCATACTATGAAACATAATAGGACATATAAATAAAATCCTTGCTTTTTTTAAAAAAAAGATATGTAATCATTAAGCAGATTAAACATGAAGTTGCCTCCTTCATCCCATCTTATGTTCGACAATTTTCCTGAGTCACTACTTTTAGCATTAACAAATAATAAACACCAGCTTATACCTAAGCACTATGTTTTAATCACTTAATACTCTAAAAACACTGATTCTTGGTTTTAGTCAAGTATCTCTTGAATACATTAGAGTAATAGCATAAATTATTTAAACATATGACAGCAGCCAAGCTTAAGCTAGAGAAGAGGAATTCAAAAGGAAATCTGTTTTCTTGTTCTGCAGGTTCTTAAAAGACCTTTTCAGAGCGTGGCAGATCTAATAGCATATGCACCATTTTCCACCCCCTGCCTCCTTGCCAGTTTTGATCAAGCTGAGGAGTTAAGCTAAGCCATGAAACATCAGAAGATCTTTAATTTACTGCTAGGCCCAGTCAAGAAGACTAACAGTTTGAGGCCAAATCTTTATTTCTATTACTATGGAAGGAGAGACATCAACTATCAAGGATTAACTGATCAGTGTTGACCCTCTGGCAACACCACTAACTAGTGACCAAGTCAACAACACTTTGTTTTCCAGGTCAACTCAAATGCACCACTTGGCCCAAATGATGAAGTAGCTTATCTAACAAATGAGACAGAATCTACTGGCACCAGTGATCCTCATGCCACTCCTTAACCAAGATCCTGCAGCATCTGTGTAGCTGCCTCCTTGCCTGACAAATTTGTGAAATGACAGAGGCTTATGTGACCAGCTCAAAAGGGTAGGTATACGTACAGACAGCCACAGAAATGACCTTGGGGAAACTAGGCAAGACATAAAAGTATACTGGAGCCTGGAAAATAGCAAAACTGTGAAAAAGAAGCTTACATTGATTGCTTCCTAATTCTTACACTGAGGGAGGGGTGGGAAAACTCAGGCAGGCTTTCAGGATTCTGTTATTCTAATGTATTGCAATAAAGCAGTGTTTCAACTTCAGCAGATTTAAGATGTTTGGACTTCAACTCCCAGAATTCTGGGAGATGGAGTCCACCCATCTTAAAGGTGCTGAGGTTGAGAAACTGCAACAATTTCTGTTGGGGGAGGAGGAAAACAGATGGCAGTGGGTGAACAACTCTGAACTTAAGCTCTGGGATCTTTTTTACTGCTTTCCATTTTTATTTACTTTTAGTAATCATTTTTATAACTCCTCTTTTTACTCCTTTGTCCTTGCTACCTACCTATTTATATTTGCATAGTTCTTGTCAGATCTGTGATCTGTTTCCTGACTGGCCTACCCAAAGGGCCAACATTAGCAGATGAAATATAGGATAGGCTCATTCATCAAGGCACCCTAGATAGTCTGCCAACATTAATCCAGATTTACTTAGGCAGTGATGGAAAACTCAAAGGACTGCAGAAAAGAAAAGTATGGGCAGAAAGGGAAGATGCCATTATTCTCTTTCATTTCCTCTTTCCCTTGCTTCCATCCACACATCAGATTTTGAACACTGAACTTAGGCCACCAGAGCTTACTATCTACTCAAGAGAAGTTATGGCAACTTACTCAAGGCCTATGTCTATTACTGAGAATCCAGCCACTTTGCATATAAGTGTCCTGCTTAGAGCTCCTCCCCCTCCCCAAAGCATAAACAGTGTTGTGGTTTCCCTAGAAATTTTTGCTATTTTAGCCAACGTAAGGGTATCACTCATGCTTTCTGTTTTTTCTTAGAACTTCAGGGCACTCAGAGGTTCCTTAAGAACCAGCTAGATCATAAAAAGCCCTCCTAGAATCCGTCTGCTGACCATCCTTATAAGAAAGCACCACCACCACCACGACTCATCACTTTTGGAGATCCTGTCTGGCTTTGTATCAGATTTCTCCCCTCTGCACAACTATTTAAGAAGCTGGATTCCATCTGAGGGATGGGACATCTGGCTGAAGGGAGGAGTAAGAAAATTGCAGAACTAAAGTATAGAGGCTGCCCCTCCTGAAAATGAAAGAGATAGTTCTAAAAGGGGGGAATTCTGCACAGAATAGTAAACAGGGAAATACTCTCCCTCCTTTTTGCTGCCTCTATTCAGGGAGAGGGGGGAAATTACTAATGAGGAAGAAAAGGAAATGGAAGCTCCTCCAAGCAGGAAGTGGGAAGAGTGAAGAGATGGAGGGAATTTCTGACAAGAAAGAATTGGAGGTGGAAGGAGAGGTGGCAACCCACTCCAGTTTCCCAAACTAAACTCAGAGGGGAAGGTGAGAGAGAAAATAGAAAAGGGGGTGATATAAGGGTTGAAGTAGGCAAGGTAGAAATCAGTAGTTCCCACAGGCCAGAGATGGTTACTATGTAATAATACAACAACTGATTGACTTTAAGGTCACCAAACTTCATGCCAAGTATCCATTAATTTGGAAGGGGAGGAGGAAGAAGCCTTGAATTTAAACCCAAGTATAAACATTTGTAAATCTTTGTACAAGCAGTAGGCAATCAATTGTTATATAAAAATTCTGATCTTGCTAAATTTTCAGCCAAGTCAAGCTAAGACATGAAGGGGATCTGTGATTTATTGCACAGCACAGTTTGGGAAGTTTGACCTCTGTGGTTTTATTCTGATATCAACCTCCTAACCCATAAAGTATTTCAGTAAAGATTTCCGAACCAAATAACAAGCTGAGCAAAATTCTCATGGTGAAGCTCCCCTGTTCAAAATAAAGTTATGTTAATTTTAAAAAATAGAAAGAAAGCAAAGCCTGATCATTTATTTGTGAGTAACCTATGCACCTAATTAACTATATATGTGCTTAGAAAAATGAGAATCCCAGAACATCTCATTGTCCTCAGGCAAAATCTATACACAGATCGGGAAACCACAGTATGGCAGAACATGATGAAACTAATTAGTTCTAGTTGACAAAGGAGTAAGACAAGGCTAAATATTCTCTCCTTATTTATTCAACATATATGCAGAATATATACTGAGGGAAGCTGGATTAGAAGAAGATGAGTGTGGTTTGAAAACTGGAAGAAGAAACATTAATAATGTGTGCTATGCTGATGGCACTACTCTGATAGTTGAAGGTACAAATGATCTAGTAATGAAAGTGAAGGAGCACAATTTAAAAAAGGGACTCAGATTAAATATAAAGAAGACCAAAGTAGTCACAACAGGTATAGCAACCAGCCTTAGAACTGACAGTGAAGATATTGATGTGGTGGAGAGCTTTTGTCTTTTAAGATCGTGTACCTAGAATGAAGGAATCTGCAGTCAAGGAATATACTGCAGACTAGCATTTGGTAGGGTAGTAATGAAGGCTTTGGAAAAGATACTCAGATGCCATGATGTGTCCCTACCCGCAAAGATCAGAATAATGCAGACACTGGTTTTTCCTATGACATTCTATGGAAGCAAAAGTTGGATTTAGATGAAGCAAGATATAGAGTATTGACATTTTTGAACTTTGATGTTGAAGACCTCTGAGAATACCATAAAGTCACAAATGATCAGGCTCAAATTATCATGCTTTGGATACATTATGCAAAGACTTAGCCCTCTCTAATGCTGGCAAAGGTAGAAAGAAAGAAAAGAAGAGGATAACCAGCAGCAAGGTGGATGGACTCAATTACAGCAGCAACAAGTACACTGTTGGAAGACCTGAAGGACCAGGTTGGGGACATATTCTCCAGGAGGAAATCTATCTATGCGATCACTAAGAATCAACACTGAGTTGATGGCAATCAATCAATCAATCAATCAATCAATCAATCAATCAATCAATCAATCAACTATTGGACTATTACCCTAGGGCTATACAATACTTTGGATTCAAAGGCATAAAGGGGCTTTGGAGCATGCCGGAGAATTAATATAGCATTTGTCTGCAACTTCTTGTAGCATCTGCATTTTTTTCCAGGATCAATGATTACCCTCTGCAGTTTCAGCACAATGCTAGAAAAATGTGCACTTGGTTTAAGGAGTTGCAGATGAGTGCTATGTTTGTCCCCCTACAGATTCCAAAGAACTTTTTTGCCTTTGAATTCAAAACACTGCACAGCTCTAATAAAGTATAGTTACTGTATGTTACAATTAAGGGGAGATGCAAGAAAAAACAAAAAACAAAAAATAAAAAGAATACATCACAAGTTCCAGGAATTTGCAGTTTAAGACTGAATGTATTTACATGACAACTCTTCAACTCTTGCTTCCAACAGGGTTTTTTTTTAGCTATTCTCCTGCATGCACAGCTTACTTTCATAAGGAAAAAAAGTATATTACTGATATATAAGAATACATCAAACAGAATCAAATGGCCTGAATTTTGTAGGGAGCAAACAACTATAGAATGTTCCCCAAATCTTCAGGTGTTTCTCAAATCTGTAAAGCAAACAAGCCTCCTTTTTTCTTGAGAGCTGGGCTCTAGAGACCACCTTGGGAATTAAGTTAATGAATGTATTTTTATTTATTTAAAACATGGATAGGCTGCCCTTTGGGCTTCCAACCTCCACTGTGGTTCGTACCATAAATTCACAATATAAAACCTATAGCACAAAACTGAAATCCCCTGAGAAGTCCATGCTCAACTCCTTAAATCTTCTCCCTTAATGTGCTCTTTGTATTATAACAGGTATCATGGCCTCACTGTTTGGCTCAGTGTAGTTACATTAAGTTACTCAAATTGCGTGAGATATAAGCCATGGAAGACTCCCAGGCTCTGAACATAGAAAAGCTAAGAGAAAGAAACTCAAGAGGCAAAGTGAGAGAAAGAGCCAAGAGCTATTTTTGAGAACTCATGCTAATTCTAAAAGAAATGCAATTAGGAAAAAAAAACAATATTACATTAAAAAGGTTTACCTCCAGAGGACACTCTAATTTGATTCCAGCTGATGGTCTGGATATATTTACATTTTCTCCTTTTTCAGAAGGCCGTATCTGGTAGTTGACTGCATTATAAAGAACCTACAAACAAAATCACATGCTTTGTTAAATTACTTATTGGTGGAATTTAGAAAATCACTCTGGCCAAATCAAGACTGATTTAGGTAGTGGCCATTTTGCACTTCAAAAAAAAATTAAGAATTTCAATTGTCTTCCAGATGGAAGCATACCCTGATCTACAATGTACATACAAATATGTAACACAGTCTGTGTCAAAAAGTTGAAAAGTCAGAATCCATGCCTTCCCTGTAATTATTAAAAAAAATGGGGGGGGGAAGGAAAGAACATTTATAATATATTCTATGTACATCATGAGAAACAATGCATAAAGGTAAAAAAAGAAAATGAAGAAAGAACTATTCAAAGAGCAAGAATTTTAAGGTGGGTTACATTAACTTATAAAGAACATAAATATATATAGTGCTGCAGAATCTGTAATAAGGAACAGAAATAAAAAAATG